AATTCTTGAATGAATTTCAGCACAAGAAGTAGTCAAACAATTTCAATTAGCACCTTGAAAAAAACACAAAAAACTTAAATTGGTCGAAAGTATCATAAGATTTCTCTCTAAATCGATCATTATAATAACCGAATATTTTCAGCTTCTATGTCCGTTGCTAAAGAACGAATTTTCGATAGTGCAAATCCAATTTACCGACAAACCTAAAGTGATTCTTAATAATCCTTGTGTTTAAATTGAGACAATTTAAGTGCACCCAAAATTTTTTGACTAGTCAAGGAAACACAGTAATTGAGGGTATAACTACAAAGTGTGTGCAGTTTCTCCGACAAGTGAATGGAACTAGTGGGAAAATTACCCTCTCCTTGTCAGGGTCTAGATCTGGATAAGTAAAATTAGATTTTTTATGGCATTTCCAGTGTGGTAATAATAATCATGTTATAAAGGGACCACAGCAAGCTCATGCTTTCAAATGTTTCTATTCTCTATCTTTGACATGACTATAGTTTCCCATACATCTCACATGGATGAGCAATTAAATGAGGTGTCGTTTTCGAAAGTGAAGGCTTATGTAGAAGACTAGAAGTGGTCCCAATATATATCTGGCTGCATAATTATGAAGCTGCAAATTAAGAAGCTCATTATTCAATTTTGTTCTATATCTAGTCTCTAAGTGAAATTATTATTGGACAAATATATTCTGTAACGTTTTTTGTTTAGTAATCTTTTGAACATTCACAAACACAGCTCTCAAATCCATGCAATTATCTTCTATTTTAACCTTTTTTTCCTTTTGAAAGCAACATACTCAATCTCATTGGAGGCAAGTATCTCAATGCATGCTCACATATACAAGATATGGGAATAACAAATGGGTAATGCAACTAAGTTTTAAAATGGTAAATGTTTATTGTTCTTTGTCTTAATATACTACCCTTCTACGAATTTCAAATCATTGGAGAATGCACTTGATTGAGATGAAAACATAATAATGCAGGGAGATAATTTTATTCCAGACCCTCTTACACATTGCTCCATATTCTATGATATATTTATCTTAAACTGAAGAGAGAGCGATAGAATACTGCTTCAAATTTTGAAGTGGTCCTGCTTCATGGGGTACTATAAAAATGAAAATAAATAAATAAATACAATATATTGTATTGGAATAAGTATTTGTGAGTGGCTACCATATGATTTCAGATCAGGTAGCATGTACATATTGCTTGTACTTTTCTTTCTCTATTTTCAATTCTTTAAATTTTCCATTTTGTTCTCTCTTAAGGCATATGAGATTTGTTTGCATTTTATAATGATACATGTCTATTATCACTCTTAAGCGTTTATAAGCATTTCTATTTAAGTGATTGATTATTTAATAAAATATTCATTTTTTTCCTTTATAATTATATAAAAAATAAGAGTATTTTACCCAAAAATATCTAAATAAAATTAACAATAGACACATAAAAGTTATAATAAATACTAATTTGAAATAACATGAAAAATTTAACGTGAGGCCAAAATGGAGAAAGGGTATCTAGGTATTAGGCCATGAAAATTGACACCTCTAGCGGAAAGTGGTAAATAGGCTACCAAATGTGTACAGATAACAACATGACAAGGCAGAGAAAGATAGAGAAAAGAGGAGCGTCTGTTATGGCTATGAAACTTTAATTAAAAGATGGGTAGGGTCCTAATGGGGTAAGCCATGGGAAGCAACACAGGACACATTTCATTTATATAGCATAAAGATTTTGATAGAGCGTGTATATGTCTGATAGTATTGTCTGGGTATATATAAAAGGTTATGCTTTGAATTTTACAGCCTTAAAAGCAACCATTATTGAGTATGGGAAAGAAAATGAAACATTTGCAGAGGCTCCCATTCCCTATTCATGCAAGTTACCTAAAACAATAATCGTTGTAAGAGACATACAGCAGTGGGGCCATATAATAAAGAGAAAAAGAAAGACCCTAACTCAACCAGTTTTCATTTCATCTCAAGTTATGTCTGAGCAGAAATTTATTATTCAACAGTAACAGTATATTATATTAACTATTTAAAATACAATATATTTTGAGAAACTAAAATTAAATTTGAGTATATTTATAAAGATTAAAAAAAATATTTTATCCTATATTAAATCTTAACAGGAGTTGGTGAACGGAGAGAGGGTTTTGAATGTTTTGTATCTTTTGGCAATGCAAGTTGTTGCTGGTTACTTGTCTCCTATCTCAACGTTGATTGAAGACAAATCTTAACAGGTAATTGATGTGTTCTATACCATCCATTAACTTTGCCCAATTAGCTTCGTAATTGTTTGCTTCTAGCCCAATAATTCATGACAGGGCATAGTTTATCTAATAGAAAACAGATAAAGACAGAGTTTTTTAGGTATGAATTTAACTGTCCCCATTTTGGTCAGTGATGATTTTAGAGAAGTGGAGAGACGCAGACATGAGTCAATAAAACTTACTATTTGTGTATATCTATGATTTAGTTTTTGTCTTGATGGAAAAAGGATGAAAAATAAAAGGAGAAACAGAGAAGGATAGGGAATGAACTTTCTTAAGAAATAATCTGTAGAATGCTGAAATGGTTGGTTTTAATCTATGGTTTTAATGATGGAAACAAAGGATTCGTGTTCCACGTGGTGTAATTTCCTGAATCAAAGTTTGGCCAAAAAATTATTCTCTGGTTGAAGCAGAGCCATCCTCAGCAAAATTGTTATCTCAGAAGCCACTTTCAATGGCCCCATAATGAACGACGTACTGAAATCTGAATGCTGCTAGTTACAAACGTATAACTACTTCAAATTGAAACACAGATTTACACCCTAGGAATTTTGCCTATCAATTTAAATAATTTTTGTATTAGAAGAACAATAATAAATTATTCACACTCTTTTTTACTTTTAAATTCATATTTCTCTCTTATACTTTTTTAATTTTGAATAAATTTTAATTAATAATAAAAAATGTGTTAACCAGTATATTTTTAGCATTCTTATTTTAATAATTGATTGTTGGATAATTAATGTATAACATAAGTTTTTTCTTTAGATGTATAAGATAAAAAGTAAATTTAAAATAATCAAAACTTAATTGTACTTTTTAGTTATTATACTTTAATGTAGATATAATTTTGATTTCTTTAGTTTTAATTGCTTACATTTAGTTTTTCTAATTTTTTAGATGCTCAATTTAAGTCTTCTAACTTAAAATTTTACCTAATAAAACTACAACAAAAGTAAAACATTTTATTCGTTTATACAAATAAATAAAGGAAAAATATATAAAATATAAAATAAAACCTATCAAAATATAATAAAGATATTAATTTTTGGATTGAAGATTTAATTTAAATATTTAAAAAATTAAAATTAAAAAGACCAAAATTACATATATGTTAAGATATATGGACCAAAATTGGAACTAAACTAATAATATCTAGTGTTTACATTGTACAAAATAATCACTTTTTTTATATTAAATTACGAAACAAATATAAAATTATGTGTAATAGTTAATTTCATTATTTAAAAAGTTGTGATTAAAAATAAAATAATCTCATCGAAACTCGCAACTTCATTGACGCGAACAATTTTTAAACTCAAGAAATTCATACACAACAAGTGCTAAGATCTCTCTCCTTAGAAATCTGGAAATAAGTTGAATTAATAACAAAACTTCAATTGTCTACTTTATGGCTCATTAGTTACATTTCATGACCAATTGTAACGATAGAAATTGACAGTGCTATATTTTTTACGTAAAAAATGATATTGCTATATTTCCAATATCCATAAAATTTCATTTTTCTCTCTCACACTCGAAGTGCCTTTAAAAAATGCCCCATCGACTGATTTTTTATCTTATAATTTCATGTTTCATGTTATTACAATTTGCTTTAGGCGTATAAAACGTTGGGCGGGCCTGCTATTGCTTACTAGAAACAGCCCATAATGCTAGGTAACTGACAACGATAACTAACAAAGATAATTTAGACAAAAAGAAGAATAAGAAGAAGAAGAAGAAGACTATAATAACATGAACATATATTGATAATCGGAAAAATGAATCCAATTGTTTATGTATTTTACTTTTTTTTTTGGGTCAAAATGTTTTTCTTGTCATTTTTTCTTCCCACATATGCCAATACTAATAGGAAATGGATGTTCACTGTGGTGAAGCGGGCTTGGGTTTATTCAGTTCCTGCGCTGACCTTGTTGATCATAAAAATTAGGTTAGGGGATTGTTTTTTTTATTATTTATTTACTTTTACACCTCTTTTTATATATATATATAATTACAATTTAAATTCTGCAAGGCTATTTTAATTTTTAAAACAAATTTTAAAATTATAATTTACAGTTTTCAGAATTTAATTTCTTAAAGCCTGTAAATTATAATTCCAAAATTATATTTCTAAACGTATATAAATTCTGAAAATTAAATTTTAGAAGTGTAAAAATTAATTCTAAAAAATTTAAATTCAGAATCTTGTAAATTAGAATTTTTTTAAATCAATTTTTACACTTTTGAAATTTAATTTCTGAAAATTATATACTTCAATAAACATAATTTTGGAATTAAAATTTACAGCACTCTAAATTAAATTTTTGAAAATTGGTTTTTTTATTTTTAAATTTTAATTTTTAGGAGTAGATTAAAATTTCAAAAATATAAATTTGAAATTATATAATTTACAATCTTCCGGATTTAGGGGTATTTAAAAAAAAATTAAAAGAAATGAAAAGAGATGTGAAAAGTTAAAACAAAAAGTGTAAAATGTTAGAAAATTGTCCTTGCTTGTAATCACAAAACTTTAGAAGAAATAATTAATGACTTGAGATGCATTGAATCTTATTCTAGGATTATCTCTTTCTCAAGTAGTGAAAGTGTAGAAATAGGTGTAGAAGTAAATATTTTTCTTATTCAAACACAATAACAACACATCATTGTGATATTTTTTTTTTCTCAACAGCAAAGGCAGAAAGAAGGAAAATTGGTGCTATTTAATAAGTCACCAATCTTTCTCTATCTCAATTCACAATCTTGCAATTAAGTCTCACTTCTCCATTTTCAGACACTCCCACATTTCCAAGTTTCAACATTGAAGTCACAAACTCTTGGAAGAACAAATTCTGATCTTTGGCAAATGCTTCAACAATCCATCTTGTTCTATGATCACCAACAAGTGATTGATCTGATGAAAATAAACCTTTTCCCACCAACAATTGTCTGTAATAGTCATTGTCAAACACCGCTGCTGTTGAATCCAAGAACTGTCCAGCACTGAAGTTTGTGTTTAGTTTTGGACATTTCTTTCTTAAGTCTAATGCAAACTCAGTGTTCAAACTTGGGTCAATGTCATTCAATAAATTGAAGTTATGAAGGCGAGCTTGGAAAGAAGAACAATGTGAAAAGCCAAGTGTGTGGCCACCAGATAGAGTCACCATATCTTTAACCCCTAAACCTCTCTTTGCAAAGCTTTGAATGAGTTGACTCACATTCAAGGTTGGAGCTGGTAAGTTGACAGTTTCAGATGCCTTTGAGACCCTTCCATCTTTCCTTCCCTTTAACACATTCCAAGATGGACCTCCAGACTATAAGTTAAGAAACAATAAATCAATGATTATTACAATTAAGAACATAAAAAAGGGTCTATCCATCTTTTACTTACTAAGAATATGCTGATCATGCATGGAGACAAGTCTTTATGCAAATGCAGAAATCAATATCCCATGCAACACCTTTATCTTGCTTTTAAAAATAAATTCATTAACCAACAAAAAAAAATGTTAAAATTTGTCTTCATTAAAATTTGTCTTCAAATATTCAATATATGACATTTTTTTAGTGATAGATAATTTATACTCATTGTGTCATCTGTGGTACAATATGATTAAGAAAACTATCAAATGGCGTGATCAATCATAAAAGAACATAACCACTTTTGATTGTTTGAATGTTACACAAAACATTAGTTCTACTTTAATTCCATTTTTTTTAATTTTATTTCATGTGGATATATTTATAAAAGGAGCAAAGGTTGAAAAAATTATTATTTTTTGAATTTTATAGAAAACAGCTAAATGTACAGGATTTTATAAAAACAATGACAGGTAATATATTTTGGCATACAAACATTATACGTTATTAGTTAATATTCAATATTTATAAAGTATTATTAAGTAAAATAAGTAATCAAGAATTACTCTTAAAATAAGTGGATTGCTTGTCATATAGATGATAGATAAAAAATAGTTTAATTGGATTTTTACCAAGGCTACCACATCTCTAGCAGCAATGGCGATTATATCAGCACAGGAAACAGTGTGTGGGCAAACTTTCTCAAGCTTGGCCTTAGCTTCATCAACAACATAAAATGAATGAACAGAGAGATTAGGAGGGCCATCTTTCTCTGCCAGGTTTGTAGCAGTTGAATCCAGCAATATTGATGCATCACAACCCTATCAATCATTGAAAAGTAACCACAACATGTAGTTACATCCATTTCAATATTTCACATGAATTAATATCCATTAACTATGTCTAATTGAGAGATAGAGACACCATATACATTTGGGTAAAATATGCTGTCTTTTTTTTTTTTTACTTTGATTCTTACAAATTTTAATTTATTTAAAATAGCTTTTATTATTATTTTTAATAACATGACATGCATATAAATATATGATCTCACGTGTCATTTCATAACAATTGTTGATATAATATAATTAGATGTATGTTATGTTACATTAAAAAATAAAAGAGACCATTTTTAAAAATTTAAAAACTTGTAAAAATTAAAAGCAACAATTTTCTTTTACAAAACTAAAACTAGATTTAACAATATTGATATAAACCAAAATCATATTTATATGTTTCCATACCCTTATGAAACAGTCATGGAAGAACATCCTCAAGATCCGAGCAGGGACTTTTGGATCAAATGTGGAAGCACTGTGAACTGTCTCGGAAATGATCTTCTCAGCTTGTGGACATGTTTTGTCATAATAGTGAGCATCAAGCTCTGCTTTCAATATTGATGGTAATGTCAAGAAGAGGAAAATAATTGGAAAAATGGTTTTTGAATATAACAGAACAGCCATTTGGTCTGAAGTGAAATAGAAGAAATTAAGGAATAAAACAATAACTAGGATAGTGAGGATTTGATGAAAACACTAAGTACATATGTTCTCTATATATAGAATAGAAAGTTGTTGATACTAACAAACACAAATTTAAAGCATAAATTATTGTCCTTGAAAGCCACTCAACGCTTAAAGATTAGCCTGGAAGTGCAACATGTTGACTACAACACTTATGTTCTGCTTTAAGATCAAGTATATTCATCCACCTACACATGAAACACATATCTTGAGTATTCAACAAAGCAATTTCGTAAAGAACTAAGATCCACCATGTAGGCCTAGAAGAAGGGTCCACGGAAAGGAAATGAAGTTCAAGGATACAAAAATTGGGCTGGAGACATGACCAGAATGCATGGTATCTTAATTTCTACCATGTGAGATGCATTAAACTACTAAGAAGGAAATTTATCTAAGATTTCAATTTTAATGTCTTGTTAGTCTAAGTCAATCAATTAACATATATTATAAATATTATTTTAAAATTAATTATTAGAAAAGGAATCCATTTTTATTAATATGGCAATTAGAATTAGATAATAAAGTAAAAAAAATACTATTAATACATTTTAATTAATTTTTTTAATACTCCTATAGAATATATTTTAAAGTAATGAAATTTATCTATCTTTATAACCGATTTTCTACCTTGATTCTTACTTTTTTTAAAAACTAGTTTGATGATTTTGATCGATTTATTTACTTCAATTTTGGATTCACTTAATCAATTCTCGATCCATCAAGTCAAATTGATCGGTCAAGTCTATCTTTATATATATATGATTTTTATTTCTATATTGGTACTCGTAACCATCTCTATTACCCACAATTTAGATATATGAATAAAAAGATTAAAATACAATTTTTACACTATTTAAGAACTAATATAAATTAGTAACTAATGATTTTGTTAATGTTAATTCTTAGAGTTTAATTTAAGTATCTAAAAGTACTTTTTTTAAAGAACACATTTATTATATTAAAGTTATCAATGTGTAATAAATGCTTATTTTTTTCAATAAACTCAATTCTAAGATTTTTTTTGGATGCAATGTGAAATAGAGAGATAAAGAAATAAGAAAATAAAAAATAAAATGAAATATATTAGATGTTTAAATGAGTTTAAAAAAGAAATAATTAAGTTTTATTAAAATATTTATAAAAATTAAAATTGAGTTAAAAGTTAATTTTTTCAGAATAAAAATAAATTTTTATAATTTTTATATTATTTTGATTTTAAAAAAATAAAAAACGAAAATATTAAAAAAAAAAAAAACCTTCCCCCTCTTTCCATCACTATTCATTTTTCTTACTTTTGAAGAATTTTTTTGTGGTGGGACCCACAAAAAATTTCTCCCTGGAACATCCAATTTCTCTTCTTTACTCCTATTTTCATATCATCCGAACATGCGATAAATCATAAGAGTTGAGGTCGAACATTTTTTTTTAAAATTTAAAACACATAAAACATAGTGTGAAATTATAATGAGTACAAAAAACATAGATATCATACGAACTCCTAAAATGAATGTATTAACATAAAATATATTAATTACAAAATTATTTATCTAAAGTTAAAAGTAAAATATTAAATCAAATTTTTAACAAAATTGAAAAGTAAACTAAGTCCTAACACTTTCAAAGAGGCGTAAAAGAAATGATTCATTAACTTTAATTAGTTACATTATGTACAGTTAAATTAATATAAATAATAATTTTTTAAATCTTATTTTTAGAATGAAAGTCTCCGAAATTAATATATCATATTCAAATATTCATATTTTAGGTTTAGAGTGATATTAAAAAATACAATATATCTTGGTGGGTATATTTTTATGGATGTCTATTAGGTGAAATATCCATTGCAATTCCTAAGTGAACTCTGACTTTGTTTTGATTTATTATGGTTTTATATTGTAGATATTGTTTGGAGTAATATTGTAGATATTTATTTCATATTGGAGTAAATATTTAAACTAGTAACACTTTTCGTCTTCTTCTATTGTCTCTTTGTCAAGTAGTGCAAGTGTTGAAATATGTATAGGAATAAACATTTTTCTTTTATTGAAACACAATCAATAACAACACATCATTGTGATATTTTTTTTCTCAACAACAAAGGCAGAAATAAGGAAAAATTGGTGCTATTTATGTCACCAATCTCCCTCTATCTCAATTCACAATCTTGCAATTAAGTCTCACTTCTCCATTTTCAGACACATCCACATTTCCAAGTTTCAACATTGAAGTCACAAACTCTTGGAAGAACAAATTCTGATCTTTGGCAAATGCTTCAACAATCCATCTTGTTCTATGATCACCAACAAGTGATTGATCTGATGAAAACAAACCTTTTCCCACCAACAATTGTCTATAATAGTCATTGTCAAACACCGCTGCTGTTGAATCCAAGAACTGTCCAGCACTGAAGTTTGTGTTTAGTTTTGGACATTTCTTTCTTAAGTCTAATGCAAACTCAGTGTTCAAACTTGGGTCAATGTCATTCAATAAATTGAAGTTATGAAGGCGAGCTTGGAAAGAAGAACAATGTGAAAAGCCAAGTGTGTGGCCACCAGATAGAGTCACCATATCTTTAACCCCTAAACCTCTCTTTGCAAAGCTTTGAATGAGTTGACTCACATTCAAGGTTGGAGCTGGTAAGTTGACAGTTTCAGATGCCTTTGAGACCCTTCCATCTTTCCTTCCTTTTAACACATTCCAAGATGGACCTCCAGACTATTAAAGTGAAGAAAGAATTAATCATATATCGATCAATGATTATTACAAGACCATTACAATTATATCTGCCCTTTTACTTTCTTAGTATATGCTGATGATCATGCATGGATGAACCATTATGCAATGGCAAAAACTAATATCCAATGCAATAACTTTATCTTGCATAAAAAAAAAAAAAGAGTATTATTTACAAACAGATTAAAAGAAAGTTATTGAGTGTTAAGTTTGTCTTTGTTGACATAATATTTGTTTAACCGAAATTGAATAAGAATCCTAATCTTCATTATATGACATTTTTCAGTGATGGATAATCTATATATGCACCATTGAGTCAAAATATATTTGTCTTACAATATGATTAAGAAAGCTAGTAACATAGTGTGAACAATCATAGAAAAACATAACTGCTTTTGACTATTCGAATGTAACTCAAAATTTGGCGTTACATGAATATTAATTAATGTTTTATTTTATTTCATTTGAATATATCAAGAAAAGGAATAAGGGAATGTTTGAAAGCTTAAAGAAAAATTATATCATTCTCCTCTTAACTTATTTCAATAAATTTTGGTGTAGATAATCAAAATAAATTATTTTAAGTTTATTCTAATCAATTTCACAATAAAATTCATATCATAAGAATTTTTTGATTAAATGTTTGAACAAGCTTATTATCCAAACACATCTAAAATTACAAAATTATTTTTTAAAATTTATAAAACAATAGCTAAATTTGAAGAATATTTTTTTAAATGTCAAGTATTATATTTTGACATGAATACAGTATACGTTATTAGTTAATAATGAATTTTCTTAGAAATGAATGTATTGTAATGTGTAAATAATATATATACATTTTTTAAGGGACTTGGACTCTTACAGTCGAAAAGATTTATGATCTCCCAATATACATACACACTATATTGAACTTTTGTTATTTGTACCATAAAAAAAGACAAATTTTAAGTATAATTCTTTAAAAAAAATTAGTTTTTTTTATTAAAATTAGAATTTTATTTCAATAAAATATTAACATTTAATATTGTCATGAATTTTTGAAATAAAACTAATTTTAATAGAAAAATAGCACTAAAAACTCTTAAAAAATTGCATTTAACTTTTATCTTGACAGAGAAGCCTCCTATAAATTCTAAGAATTTAGCATGTATATATAAAATAGCTTGAAGGATTAATTGGATTTTTACCAAGGCTACCACATCTCTAGCGGCAATGGCGATTATATCAGCACAAGAAACAGTGTGTGGACAGGCCTTCTCAAGCTTGGCCTTAGCTTCATCAATAACATAGAACGAATGAACAGAGAGATTAGGAGGACCATCTTTCTCAGCCTGGTTTGTAGCCGTTGAGTCTAGCAATATTGATGCATCACAACCCTATCATAGTCAATTAGCCAAAACACTTAGTTACATCCCCATTTTGATACTTAGCATGAATTAATTAATAAATGTTGAATGCATGCTTGTTTTAATTTATTTTGAGAAAATAATAGCTTATTTTTGGTATCTTGGAGAAAGAACTTATGAAAAATAAATGATTATTTTCTTAAATAAAGCTAAATCAAATATGAGCTAATTGTATCTATTGAGAAATTGAAAGATTATATATATATTTTCACGGAAACGTTTTCTTGGCATGTGAAATGATATGAAAAGAAAGAAATAAAGATTATAAATGTAATCAAAATTCAAAATAGTTGATCAAATAAACAAAATTCATATTTTCATACCCTTATGAAACAATCATGGAAGAACATCCTCAATACACGAGCTGGGACTTTTGGATCAAATTTGGAAGCACTGAGAACCGTCTCTGAAATTATCTTCTCCACTTGTGGACATGTTTTATCATAGTAGTGAGGATTAAGCTCTGCTTTCAATACTGATGACAATGTCAAGAAAAGAAAAATGATTGGAAAAATGCTTTTTGAACATTGAGCCATTTGGTTTGAAGTGAACAGAAAATAAAGTAATACAATGGGTAGGAAAGTGAGGATTTGATGCAAACTCTAAGAACATATTTGCTGTATATATAGAATAGAAAGTTGTTGATGCTAACAAACACAAGTGTAACGCATAATTATTGTCCTTGAAAGCCACTCAATGTTCAAGATTAGCCTGCAAGTGCAAAATTTTGACCACAACACTTTTGTTCTGCTTTAAGATCAAGTATATTATTCATCTACCTATACATAAAACACATATCTTGAATATTCAACAAAGCAATTTTTGTTAAGAACTAGGATCCACCC